TAGAAACTGTCTAAAATGAAAAACAAGAGACTTCTAAACAAGATGGTGGCATATGTAAACACTGTTTGCCTTCTCACACAAACACATCAAAATTACAACTAAAATATAGAACAACTATCACTCAGAACCATCAGAAATTGAGTTGAATGGAAGTCTGACAACTATGGAATTAAAGAAAACACATCCATCCAGAATGGCAGAGGTGCATTACAGGCTGGTCCCAAACCACATGCGGTAAGTAAAAATTTGGGAGGGATATCTCAGAAGCGAGGAGTCCCAGCTGCACACCAGGCCTCCCAGCCCAGGATTCCAGTGCCAGACAGCTAAGCTCCCATCTGGGTCCTGGCTGCAAAACCAGCAGGGATTGAGTCAATTGAAGAAACCTCTGGAATTCCAAGCCATTCCTCTTAAAGAACCCACACACTGACTTAATCAGACTCCCTCCCTCTGAGCTTCAGCACCAAGGTAGCCCCTTGAAAGACACCAGTGGCCACAGGGGGGAAGTGAAGTGTCTACAATTAAGACAAGAGCTGATGGACAGCCTTCTCCCAGACAGAAAGGTGGGCCATTGTCCCTTTGCTGAACTCTCCCTCTACAGAGTCACAGAGCTGGCAGGCTGGTGCCATATCTGAGACTCCATCAACATAGCTAACACTGTTGGCCCCTGCCCTAGAGATCCCCAGGAACTCCATCCCACCTGACTTATGGGCTCACCCAAGCTGCTTTTCCATATGAATGGCTGGTCTTGGCTCATACTTCATAACTGCCTAAGTCCTCTCAAGCAAGCAAAGCCAGTCAGTGAGCTCCCAGCCCACATACCTATTGCTAAGGGGCCATAGGTCTGGCAGTAGCAGCAACCAGCCTAGATTCACAACCTGGCTTCTCCTGGGAATCTCCAAGACCGGCACACATAGCAGCCATCTCAGATTGCTTTATAGCTCAGGCAAAGTGGCCCCTGGCAATACACAGGTTGGGCTGATCTTGGCCTGCACCACCTGGAAAACCCAAGAGCCTGCACACCTAGTGGACTATTATTGACCACATCAGAGCACCACCACCCTGTCCCTGCACAGCGGATCATCCATGGAGGGTGGAGGTTGGTGGTCAGTGGTCACAGCCAGTCCTTGCAGCTGCCTGACCTGAGTAAATTTCTCTTATTGGCTTGCCCACAGTAATCAAGGCTCAACTACAAGAGGAGGCTGTACTCAGCCCACATAAAGGACATACCACAAGTACCCAGCTTGGGTGATAGAGGAGGCTGTGTCACCAGACCCTACAGAATACCTACTACATTAAGCCACACTACCAAGACAAGGAGTCATAGCAGCTCTCCCTAATACATAGAAGTAAACAGAGGGAGGCTGCCAAAAAGAGACAAAGAAATATGGCACAAATTAAAGAACAGATCAAGACTCCAGAAAAAGAACTAAACAAAATGGAGATAAGCAATCTATCAGATGCAGAGTTCAAAACACTGGTTATAAGGATGCTCAAGTAATTTAGTGTGGTCCGCAACAGCACATAAAAGATCTAGTCAGAAATGAAGGATACACTAATTGAAATAAATAACAATTTAGAGGGAAACAACAGTAGGAAGGATGAAGCCAAGAATCAAATCAATGACTTGGAACATAAGGAAGTAAAAAACAACCAATCAACAAGAAGAAGAAAAAAGAATCCAAAAATAATGATAATAATGAGGGTAGTGTAAGCAGCCTCTGGGAGAACTTCAAGCAATCCAACATTTGCATCATAGGGGTGCCAGAAGGAGAAGAGAAAGAGCAAGAAATTGGAACTATAATTGAATGATTAGGAAAGAAAACTACCCTAATTTGGTGAAGGAAATAGATGTGCAAGTCCAGGAAGTACAGAGAGTCCCAAACTAGATGGGTGCAAAGTGGCCCACTTCAAGACACATCAAACCTTTAGCATAATCAAGACACCTGCTAAAGGTTAAAGAGAATCTTAAAAGCAGCCAGCCTGAGAAAAGCAGTTACTTACCTACAGGGGAATTCCCATGAGACTGTCAGCTGATTTATCAAAAGAAACTTTGCAGGCTAGAAGGGATTGGCAAGAAATATTTGAAGTCATGAAAAGCGGGGACCTACAGCCAAGATTGCTCTACCCAGCAAAGCTGTCATTTAGAATCAAAGGGCAGATAAAGAACTTCCCAGATGAGAAAAAAACTGAAGGAATTCATCACCAAATTATTATGTGAAATGTTAAAGGGACTTATTTAAGAAAAAGAAGAAGATCAAAACTATGAACAATTAAATGGCAATAAATACAAATATATCAACAATTGAATCTAAAAAACAAACTAAGCAAACAAGAAGAACAGAGACAGAATCATGGATACAGAGAGTGTTTTGCTGGCTGCCAAATGGGATGGGGAAATGAAGGAATTGGTGAAGAGGTCAGGGATTAAGAAGTACAAATAGGTAGTTACAGAATAGCCATGGAGATGTAAAATACAGTATAGGAAATGGAGTAGCCAAGGAACCTACTCATGACCCATGGACATGAATAATGGTGGGGGGACTGCCTGTGGGAGTAGGGGGAACTGGGTGCCAGGGGACAAAGGGGACTAATGTGATAGTATAATCAATATAATATAATTTTTTAAAGAAAAAATAATTGAAGAAAACTTCCCTAATTTGGTGAAGGAAACAGACATGCAAGTCCAGGAAGCACAGAGAGTCTTAAACAAGATGGATGCAAAGAGACCCACTCCAAGACACATCATAATTAAAATGCCAAAGGTTAAAGATAAGAGATAATCTTAAAAGCAGCAAGAGAAGGTCAGGGGATTAAGACGTACAAATAAGTAGTTACACAATAGCTGTGGGAATGTAAATAATAGTGTAGGAAATGGAGTAGCCAAAGAACATACATGCATGATCCATGGACATGAACAATGGTGTGGGGATTACCTGGGCGAGTGGGGAGTGCTGGGTGGAGGGTGGGAAAGGGGGGGGAACTGTGACAACTGTAATACCGTAATCAATAAAATATAATTTAAAAAAAAAGAAAAAGAAAAAAATACAAATCCAATTGTGTTGGTTTATCAATTTATTGCCCCAGCTGCAAAGTCACCTTTCAGCCTCTCTGTTTTAAAGGTGCTGTTTTTTGTAATACCTCTCCTTTGTCAGCTAGCAAGATGTTAATTAAGCCTTGTCAGCAGAGGGTGCTTGAGAAATCTTGGAGAAAGTAGGGGCTTTCCTTCCAATTCAAGTGTGGCTCGCTCTCGAAGTTCCTGAAGAGCACACTTTTCCTCCACTGCTTTGATCCCTGAGGCTTCTCCAGTGTTAGGTTCCTACATGGCACAGCTTTCTTCAACATTTAGCTACTGCAGCTCTTACTCTGTCGAGTCCTCAATTCAGTCACAAACAGTGCAAACCAGAGAATAGTACATAGCAACATACTGAAAGTACTGAAAGAAAAAGCTGTCAATACCCAGCAAAAGTACCTTTTAAAAACAATAATACAATAAATACTACCCATGCCCCATGTTCAAATGTCCCCAATTTCCACATAATGTTCTTTATGACTGATTTTTTTTTCTTCCAGTCTAGAATCCAATCAAAGACCATGCATTAAGTTGCTATGACTCTTTAATCTCCTTCAATTTAAAACAGTCCCCAGCCTTCTTATTTCAATGACATGGACATTTTTGAAGATCAGGCTAGTTTTGGTGGTGGTGGTGGGGGGGGTTGTTTTGTTTTGTTTCGTTGTTTTTTGTTGTTTTTTTTTTTTGCAGAATGGCCCTCAATTCTGATTTTGTCAGATAGTTTTTTCATGATTAGGTTCAGGTAAACCTTTTTGGCAAGAATACTGCATCAGCAGTATGTCCTTCTAAGTGCATCACATCAGGGCCCCTAATATCCATTTGTCCCATTATTGGTGGCATTAAGTTTAATTACTTTGTTAAAGCACCATTTGTAAAATTTCTGTAAGGTCACTTTTAAATACCCACTGTGGGGTGATATTTTGAGACTATGTCAATATCTCCTTCCTCGCTTGGCTTTCAGCCATGATTTTAGTATCCATTGTTGATTCTTGCCTGAATACTCATTTTTAAAGAAACATTTGGAAAAGCAGTGCTTCCTGTTCAAATTTTAAAATGATAATTACTTCATAATCTTCATAAGCATGTTTCCTTTTTTTTTTTTTTTTTTAGTTGATGAGAGCTGCAGTTTCCATTTGAGATCTTTTCCCTTTCAACACAGATATCTGAGAGAATTTATACCACATGGAAGTTCAGCTTGCCTTCAGAGTGAAGCTGGGGCGAGAGTAGTGGTTTGGAAGTCCAGCGTAGAATAACGTTATTAAGGCATCAATATTTCACATGCTATCGATAACCAGTGTGCCAGACTCCATGCTTGTGAGAAATTCGGTAATGGATTAAAAAATTGGCAAAAACCTTGGGAAAGTCTTTTTTTTTTGGTCTCTGTCTCCAGAATTCTATAATTAAAGCCTTTATTTCTCTGCAAAATATTCCCATCTTTTTTCCATATATCTTTAAGGATCATGATCCCAAAATTTTCTTCTTGAGAAAAAAGAGAGGTCCTTTCTCACCAATGCAATCGGGCTAGAATATGGCAACTCATTTCAGAGGGAGGGGGATGATTTTAACCAGGTGAGTAGGGAAAGGCAGTGCTAATTAAAAAGTTGGGGATACATGAAGACCTCAAGGTATGAATAAGCTCAGACCAGCTTCTTTTTAGCTGAACTTTCAGGCGTAAGATCTGGGTTCCTTGGTGGAAGACCCTTTCCTTCTGTGTGCAATACCAGAGTGTTCATCTCACTCCTGCCTAGACTGGCCCAAACCAGGAGAGGCTCATGACCTCCTTTGGCAGTGCCTTTCCTGCCTCTTTGCAGGATACCAGCTTGCATGTGGATCAGTGTCATTTCAGGATTACAGGAAATCACCCTGGAAAATGGTCATTTTGTTTGAAGGCTCCCAGCTGCATCTCTGCCCATCCTCCTGCCTGGTCCACCAGGAACTTGATTTGCTCACATTTCAACAATGCACAAGGGAGCATTTGTCTTGATAGCCTCTGAGATCATCCTGGCACCAGATTCTCCAATGTGATTTCCCTGGAGACTAGAAGAGAAAGGTTAGGACAAACTGAAAAATTGGCTAAAGGGCTAGTAATGAGCAGATGGTCACTACATAAAATGCAGACCTCTGGGTGAAAACCTTTGTGCTTCCAGGATCCCTCCCACAGACAAGGCTCTGAATGGCTTTCTCTTATACCAAGTTTTACCCCAGAGTTGCTGAAGGCCCTGGGGATCGGCTGGCTTTGATAATCAGGCAGAAGGTAGGGCCTGACCTATGATTCTAAGGGTGAGCAAGAACGGCTTGAAAGATTAGAGACTGCCAAACCCTACTCACTTGATATGCTGGATCCCATGGTTTCCAGACAGTGCAGTGGCAATGCATATCACGCCATCCATCCCCAAGGAATTCTCTTGAAGACTAGGCAGAGAAAAGATAGAGACACCACAGTGAGCCATTCAGGACTGAAGAATACATCCCAGGAAGCAGCACTGCATTATCTTGAGTGGCCATTCTGGAACTTATTTGTCCACAGGTGCCATACCAACATCAAGGTGGCATTTAACCCTGAAACCAGAGTCTATAAGGAGCCAGTTGTCCTATCCAGGTGCCTTGGAAGATATAAGACCAAAAATACAGATGTTAAGTGATTTACCTCTGACTTAAACTAAGCAGAGTGAACAAACCCTACCACAATATAGACTATAGTAACCAGAACAGTCTAAACTGCTTCTATTCAAAAGGAGCACCTACAGAGGAAATCAAAAGCATCTTATGCCACGGGGAAAGTTCCAGCAGAAAAGTCATCTGCTCTGGGGTGCAGATAGGGCTCTATAACCACTCACTTGAGTTTTCGGAGGTTTGAGTTGACCTTCAGAGCATTTGCCAGGGCTTTGGCTCCAGCAACCCCAATGGCGTTTCCTCTTAAGCTGTTAGAAAAGACAGGAAATGTAAGGCACAGCAACAGCTGAGAGGTGCAAATGATACCTTTTTGGATGAATGCGGGCTACTGATTAGAGGCAGCATGGACTCAGCAACCATGGGGGATTAGGTTGCTCCTTCCTTACTCCCAGGCACAGAATGGAGTGTGGTTCTGGGGAGCAGCAAGACACACAGGAGGGGGTGAGCCGGCCCAACCTGGGTAGTTTGTTGGAGATTTCATTCTCCTTTTCCACTCCAAAGACAATTGTGGGCTGAGACAGGAGAGGCAACACTCCATCTAGCAGTTCCTGTGTGCTCAGCATCACAGAACTGCAGGAGGAGGGATGAGCTGGGCATGTCTGAAAACCTCACAGAGCTTGAGGCCCCAAATTTCTGGATCTCAAAGACTGAGATCACTGGTCACAGACCACCCCAAGGACCCTTTAAACAGGGCTTTGGGGCAAGTGTGGCATGGACAAGACCAAGAAGAGCAGGTACTCAAGGTAAGGAGTGCCAACAATAATGATCCCCAGCCCTGGCTGGTGTGGCTCAGTGGATTAAGTGCCAGCCTGTGAACCAAGGGGTTACTGGTTTGATTCCCAGTCAGGGCACATGCCTGGGTTGTGGGCCAGGTCCCCAGTAGGGGGCACTCAAGAGGCAACCACACATTGATGTTTCTCTCCCTCTTTTTCTCCCTCCATTCCCCTCTCTCTAAAAATAAATAAATAAAATCGTAACAAAAAATAATGATTCCCAGGGAAAAGGAGTGAGGTAAGAGTGGGGAAGCTGGGGCATGCTTGATCTAAGTGAAGATATTTAAATGATTTGTGAGTTTCATGTACATTGGCATTTTTTTCTCCTCCATATCTATTCATCTTGAATCAACAGCTTGGCAACTCCTTTGGGCAAGAGACTATAGCTGGAGGCTGGAACACTTACTCAAGAATCTCCAAGGTCCTGTTCACAGCTAGGGCTTCCCCCAGTGCCTGGGCCCCTGGTGCACCAATGGAAGCCACCTGGAGACTGTAAGAGGAAATGCTGTCAACGTGCACAAGCCAGACAAGCCAGGCCTCTCCAGCCCTCATACTTGCCCTGGGACCCACTTCCATTCATAGTCACCCTTCATTTTCATCACCCTTGACTTAGGGCTGAAAGTGATGAAATAGCACTGAAAATTGTTGGCCTGTGAACCGTGCAAAGGATGCTTCATCTTCTACCAACACTGTCTGCTGCCTAGGGCATGTCTAGATACTACAGACATAGGAAGTACAGGTAGTCTCCTGGAGAGTAAGGAGAAGACTTCTTGTATCCCTAAATCTTATTTGTTAGAACTGCGAGAGGAGGGATGACCTGGACGTCCCTTTTTCTACCTGGTTGCTAATAGTAAAAAAATCAGACACACTTTCCTTGACCGTGAAACAATAATGGATTTTCCATGTGAAGGGATGGTGAAAGGCTGGCTTCCTGGGCTGCCGCGCACATCAGGACTTACTAGAGAGCAGTGAGCGATGTGTTTGCCTTCAGCGCACTGGCAAGTGCACAGGCGCCTTCGTCCCCAATCGCATTCTCCTGTAAACTGAACACAGAGAGTAACCCCTGGGCACACAGGGCACAGGGCTAGCTCTCTACCATGACATGCTGCGCTTGGCCCTTCTATTTAAGTCAGGCCACACACACCCCAGACTATACACACAGGGTCACCCTGTGTGACCTCTGCAGCCCCATGGCCTCCTAATTAACATTTAGAGGGGTCTGGGATCTGCAAAAGTCTGGACCATCAGAAACAAACAAGAAAAAGGAACACATGGAAGTACTGTCAACAAAGGCTTGGGACAAAAAAAGGGCATGCTTTTCAAAGACAACTAGAAAACTAAAAGCCCTCTATCCCCAGGCTTTCACTAGTTGGCACTAATAATTTAACAGACATTTTAGTGTGTATTGGGTACTAGCAAGGCCAGTTCTGCCTTTGTGGAACTCAGGTGAGGAGACCTGCTTTAGTGGGCAGTCACTAGTGGCCAAGTGCCGGTTTCAGTGTGGTCCCAGAAGGTGCCCAGAGAAATAGGTCTGAACCAAAACCTGAAGAATAAGAGATAGGGAAGAGCACCTGGCACATCTGAGGAACCCACAGAAATTGAGTCAAGTCTCTGGAGTGTGACAGGAGGCTGAGGAGGCATAAAGGAAGCAGATGTTTGGGGGCCCTAGAAGCCACGCTAAAGATTGGGCTTCACTTGGGCAGCCATAGAAACATCTCACCAGGACAGGGACAGATCTGTGTTTTAGAGAGATCTTGGCCAGCAGAGGGTGGGCTGGTGGAGGCTGCTGCAGTGACGCAGGTAAGTGATGCTGGTGGCCTGGACGTTGGGAAAATCAACAGGACTTGGAAATGAAAAGAGTGAAGACAGCTGAAGTACCGGTGAGGCACCCAAGGGGAGGCATGGACTACTTCCCACAGTTGATTGTCTGGTTCTGTTCATATAATGGGGAACCAAGAAGTGGGCTTGTTGGGGAGATCATTGGACAATCTGAAGTACCGGTGAGGCACCCAAGGGGAGGCATGGACTGGGCAGTGGACACATAGGTCTGGACCTCAGGCTAGAGGTCTGGGTTGTAGATGTGGGGCCATCAGGACTTTAAAGCCTGTGAGAGGAGGAGAGCTGTCAGAAGAAATGTCATTCAAGGGAAGATGGCCTGGGACAGAACCCTGAGGAACGCCAGTATTTCAGAATCAAGTAGAACTAGCCAGAGATGGGAGAGCCTGGAAGCTGAGAGAGAAGTAGTCAGCATCAAAAGCAGATGAGACTCAAAAGGTTAAACAGAATTACCATTTGAATGGGCAGTTCCATTCCCAGCTGTATCACAAGAGAACTGAAAACATACGTCCACACAGAAACTTGTACATGGATGTTCATAGCAGCATTATTCATAATAACCAAAAAGTGGAAACAACCCAAATGCCCAACACCAGATGAAAGGATAAACCGAATGTGGTCCTATCCATACAGTGGTATATTATTCAGTCATAAAAAGGGATGAAGTACTGACACTTGCTACAATGTGAATGAACCTTGAAAACATATTAAACGAAAGTTGCCAGTCACAGAAGACCATGTATCGTATGATTTCATTTATATGAAATGTCAAGGAAAGTAAATCCATTGAGACAGTAAATTTGTGGTTGCCTGGGAAAAGGGAGACTGAAGAGTTACTGCTAGTAGATATGAGTTTTCTTTGATGGTGATAGAAATGTCCTAAATTTGACTGTAGTGATGGTTCTGTACCTGTGAATATACTGGAAATCAGTGAATTGTTCACCTTAAATGGATAGATTATTTCTCAATAAAGCTGTTTTTTTTTAAGCAGATGAGTTTGGAAACATGCTTGCTGGCCTTAGGGCAGAGGAGGCTGTGTGCTGAGGGCATGAGCCCGGCGCCTGGCAGGCCCTGGGGGTTCAGATTCCCCGGCTCCCATGGCCTCTGTGGACGCCCCACTTACTCAAGGCTGATCAGGCTCCTGTTGAACTGTAGTGCTTGTCCCAGGGCCGTGGCAGCGCCAGCCTGGATGAAGTTCCACTGCAGGCTAGGCAGACATGAACCACATGATTAGGTGGCCCAAGGCAGCCCAGGAGGAGAAAGAGGGGTCTCCTCCCAGGAGAGTCTGACACCAGAGGATGGAGTCCTTGCAGGGCAGGTTCTATAGGGACCACTGACGGGCAGAACCCTTGCAGCCCTCCTCAGCCTTAGGCCCAAGGAGTCAGCATTTAATCTCTGGTTGGGGGTGAGCATGGGAACAGGCTCAAATAAAGACTCCAGGTGGCCCCTGCATAAAGCATGTGACATGGAGGCACAGCCATGGGTACCCACCTCCCACCATTGGCCTCTCCATGGATCAACCTCAGGAAGCAGATCAGGGTGCAGGGCTGCTGGCCTCTGCAAGCGCCCTGCTAGAGGCCCCAGAAACCATGTAGGGGATGCCCAAAGCTGGACTTGGTCTCTTGCATCAGCTGGTCTGAGTGTAGCCCTTCAGCTCTGTGCAGCGGGGTTGGGGGGGCACCAAGGACTCACTGAAGGGACATGAGGGTGTGGTTTTCTCTCACTGCCACTGCGATGGCCCGGGCACCGTCATCGTGGAGGAGGTTGGCTGTCAGGCTAGGAGGAAGAGAATGGGGGCAAGTGAGCAGAAGCTGGCCATGATGTCCCCTGTCCTTGCTCTCCAGGGAACCCAGACCACTGTCCTCCGACCCAAGGACTGCATCGGCTCCACTAGGGTAGCCTAGCTCATGCTTGTGGAGCACTCGCATGTGCCAGGCACATGTCCTGGACTGTTGTAACAAATTCTGACAACCCCATGGGTAGTGGGCCCAGGCTCAGCTCAGTGAGGTTCCATGACAGATGACCCACCAGGAGATGGCAGAGGTACCCAGGGACTCACTCCTGATCCTTGTACTGTGCTGCCCCTCATGGTCTTGCCCCTTCCACATGCTTGTCCATCGCCATGGGAGAGGGGTGGGGTGGGGGTAGAGCAGGCAGAGAGTTGCCACTAACTTCATCCCCATGTAATTTATGGCATGAGCAGGGGACTTGTGTCAGGGTTGCCGCCAGGGGCCAAGTCTCCTGGCTACCTTCTCTCAGCCAGGTCCTTCTTCAGCCTTTTACAATGACAATAGTGACAAGGGCCTGGCCTATCAGTCCATGTGCTCTGCGTGGTTAAGACCCTGGCATAAAGGAGCCCTGAGAAGCCCAACCTGCCCCTCAGCTCACGTACTCCAGGTTCTTCAGGGTGCTGTTGGTGCAGAGAGCTCGAGCCAGGTCCTGGGCTCCCTCTGGGCTGATGGAGTTTTCTCGCAGGCTGAGGAAAGAGAAGACCCTAGGCTGGTCAGGCTCCTGGCCAGGCAGAAGAGGCTCCCAGGGGCAGACAAGCCCAGGCATTCGGGCTTTTAGAACCAGGGAAACCTCAGGTGAAACCTGGCCTTCCTGAACGATCTGCATGCGGTGTGTTCCTCCAGCAAGCCCAGGTTCTTCTGGCTGGGCAGCCAAGTGTCTCCCCTTTAGGACCGACAACAGTATAAGACAAAGGGACCTCAGAGCTGTGAGCGGCAGGCACGCATGCTTGGATGCCTAAAGAACTAGTGTACAAGAAGGGAGCAGCAGAACCAGCCAGCTGAGGGTCGCAGCTGCCCCTGCCCTCCCAAAAGCAGAAAGAGCGCAGGATGTCAGCTCCAGGGGCAAGCTGCCTAAACATAGGTCTTCACCATAACGAGCCCACGGGGTAGGTATGAGCTTCCAAGTGCCAGCTTTTCTTTCCAAGTCCCCAAATCCCTTTAGACCCTCGACCAAAGGGATACCTGTTTGGAGAGGGAGGCTGGGACTTACTTGAGGCTGAGGAGGGTTTGGTTGGTGCAGAGGGCCCCCATCAGTGCGGCCACTCCTGCGTCACTAATGGAATTGCTCTGCAGGCTGCAGACAGAAGAGAGGGTATGTTTGGTGTGGCTGTTTCAGGACCCCATGGGGAGCCATCAGTCCAGCTGAAGCACTAAGTTCAACAGGGAGTTGGGCGATCCCTGGGGCAGGTGCCACCCCACACCATTCTTTTCATCAGCCCTCCCTCCTCTCCTACCCCCCACATTCCAGCCCCTGCTAGGTCAGGGCAGGAGGGTCTAGCACAACCAGCTCCAGAGTTTAGACTCTGCCTTGGTTTGGGTAGCTCCAAACAGCCCCTGAGACAGGGCATGTGCTGTGTTTGCAGCCCACAGAGAAAGAGGCACAGTTGAGTCTCCCCAGCACGGGGGCAGCGCCAAGCTCCCCAACCCCACACCGAGGCCTGCAGCTGACCCCCTTTTTAGCTACCTGCACCAGCTTCTAAAGGGCTCTCAGGGATTGTTGTCATGCTCAAAACTCCAGAACCAACACCAGCCCCTGCTGTCCAGGGAAATGGAGCTGGTATGGTAGGACGGAACAGGCGGGTAGATCGTAGAATGCCCAGAGCTGGCGGTTGGTTGGGCTCTGGGAGAGAAGTGGCCCTGACAGCCTTCCCACAGAACCCACCCCCCGCTGGATGGGGAGCCTGAGCAGGGCAGAGGGGAGTCACCCTCTGTCCGCAGCCACCCCGGAGGGTGGTCAGGCAGACTCACTCCAGGCTCTCCAGGCCCTGGTTCACCTTCAGGGCTTCGGCCAGGGCCTTGGCACCTTCATCACCAATGCTGTTACTGGAGAACCTGCAAGAGAAGGGACACACTAGTAAGTCAGCCTTCTGCGGCAGCTGGACAAGGGAAGGCCTAGAAATCAGGGTCTTAGAGGAAGGCTGTCTCTGTTGTCTCAAGGGTGCCAGTTTAGTTTCTCCAGCTTGAGGCTAGTTGGCCAGTGGCCTCTGTAAGTAACCTCCTGCCTCCTGTAAGAGATCAAGGTAGCAAAATCCTTCTTGGCTCCCTTCCTGGCAAGTGGTAGGGGCCAGGGGGCAGGACCAACCATTTAATGGGAGGTGTTTGTGATACTTCACGTGAAGGTGACTAGGAAATGCCACTTTCTCCCACCAGTTGAGAAAGCAGCAAATGTGAGCCTGAGAGTTGTGGTTCACTCAGTCCTGGGAATCTGGGTCTCCATTCTCCTGACCCAGTGCTTTGGAGTCGAAAACCAGCTATCCTGCACCAACACATTCACCCATCCATCCACTCACACACTCATCCATTCATCTATCCATCCATCTATCCACTCATCTACCAGGCTATGCATGCATGCATCCATCCATTTACACATCCATCCATCCATCCATCCACCCATCCATCCCCATGCTCACAAATATTTGTGATGGGCCGGGCATTGTGTTAGTCACTGAGGATGCCAATTTGGCCCTTTTGCATTTCTCACATGAGCTCCTTCAGACTCCTGTTCTGCTTCAGGGCATCTGCCATCTGCTGGGCTCCCAAGGGCCCGATGGTGTTCTTCTGCAGACTGTAAGAGAAGAGAGGGGTCCTTCAGCAAAGCTGGTCACAGTCATTCCTAAGCCAAGGATAATCTGATTCAAGGTGAGAGGTCAGAGGCTACTGGCTGCTGAGTACCATCTCCAGGTGTCACAGCATACGGGGAGGGGTCTCCAGGAAAGGTCTGCCAGTTGTTGCCAAAGTGATGCCAAGAGACTAACATCATTACATGGAGAGTAAGAGGCAAGGGCAGCCAGGCTCTCCCTTGTCAGAAACTGGAAAGCAGCGACCAGTAGACGCTGATAATATATAGCAACCTTCTGAGTGGGGACTTCTATGTACAGGTACAAATGGCCTCTTACTCGGCCAGCCCCCTCACACTCAACGGCCCACCTCCATGTCTCCCACTCTACAGTCTTCCCTAGGGCAGACCCTCCTCCACCTAGGTTCCTCTTCTCCAAAAGCTTCTTCCTCTTATACTAAATCTGGAGGAGGGGATGTTACAGAAGAACCTCGTGCTCATCCCAGAAGGAGAGGCTGGACAGGACCTCTTGTGTGAGAGGCTAAATACAATCTAAGCAAAAGGGAATTTTCCCTGGTTCCAAAAGAGAAAGAGATATCCTTCTCCCTTTTCTTGGTGTATGTTCTTGTTGCAGTTGTAAATCCTTTCCCTGTCCTTTTGAGAAGTATGTAAATGTTTTAAAAAGCCAAATAGAAACCTCTTGCCAAGCTTTACAGTCCTGGAAATGTCTTTTGTAAGGGCCTTAGAGCCATCTCTTTGAAATGTGCACATCAAAAAAGATAGTACAGGCTCCAAGTTGTAAGTGCCTTCTTGTCATGAAGGTATGAAGTTTTAACTTTCTTTTGGCTAAAGGCCATTAGCAAACACAGATGACTACACAAGTACCAGGCTAGTTTAGGATGAACAATGTGTGACAAACAGTGCTGTCCAGTCTTCTTACTTGAGGACAAGTTGTTTATCTTGGAAGCATGTATATAATGCTTGCTATGGAAAAGGGTGTGATTTATTTCTGTCTTTGCAGTCTTATCACTAGATTGCCTATGATGCATGTATAGTCTAGCAGAATGCTTATTCAAATAATAAAGCTGGTTTTTTCTCACATTTGTGGAGAGGATTTTCTGGATCGGCAGGAGGCTTTATTTTTAATTTTTTGCCCAACACCTGTCCTCTGGAAAAGCAATGGACATCAAGCTTTCTAGGGCCATTCGGACAAGTCAGAAAGCCTCAGGACCTTGCCCCGTCCATCCCTCCTTGCAGAAAACAGGCAGAGAGGTTGTCGGAGGAGGGGATGGCGAGTACAGAGGAGGCTCTCTGATGGTCAGCACGTCTACTCACTGTATCACGGAGAGGGTCCGGTTGGCTGCCAGCGCCTCAGCCATGGACCTGGCACCGTCATCCCTGATCCTGTTGCCCTGGAGGCTGTGGAGGCAAGGAAGAGGCGTATCCCTGATGGAGCACACAAGGGCACCCAGTGGTGACCTGAACCACCACTGCAGCGTCACCAGTGTCTAAGGAGGGGCAGCAGCTGACTTCAGGGAGAGGGGGCTTTGAACACTATATGCCCTCAATGCCCCCCACACAGCCACTGGAAACCAGTTGGCCCTTCTGTCTGCTTCTCTGGCCTTAGGTTTCCCTCTGGGTCTCTAAGCACTTGCCTGTTGACTGGGCACAAGGCGCTCATGATACCTGGATAACAGAAGCTAGGTCATCCATAATCCTAATTACAGCTAAAAGTCACAGCACCCAAGTGTTGGTGAGGATGTAGAGAAACTGGAACCCTCATTCACTGCTGGTAGGAATGTAAAATGGTTAGGCCACTGTAGAACTCAGACTGGTGGGTCTTCAAAAGGTTAAACACAGAGTTACCATGTGACCAGCAAATTCCACTCCTAGACATTTACCCAAAAGAATGAGAAGCAGGTACTCAAATACTGCACACAAATGTGTACAGAAACATTATTCACATTGCTGAAAGGTGAAAGCAACCCAAGTGTCCATGAACTGATGAATGGCATATTATTCAGCCATAAAATGGATGGAACTACCAATACATGCAAAAATGTGGCTGAACCTTTAAAACACATTAAGTGAAAGAAGACACAAAAGGTCTAACTGTATGCTTCCATTTATATGAAATATTCAAAATAGGCAAATCCATTGAGCAGAAAGCAGATTGGTGGTTGCTGAAGGGAGGGAAGAATGGGAAGTGACTGCTGATGGGTACGGGGTCTCCTTTTGGAGTGCTGAAAATATTTTGGAACTAGGTAGAGCTGATAGTCGCACAATTTTGAGTGTATTATGTGCCATCGAACTGTACACTTCAAAATGGTGGGTTTTGTGTGAATTTTGCCTCTATGTAAATAAATGAAAGCAAAACAAAACAAAATGGTGGTATACATTCAACTAAGGATGGATACTACCACTGGCTCCTAAAAAGAGCACAGCAAACCACACCAAACCATAAGAATCTTCTGGAGGATGGGTTTCCAGTGTCTTGGAAAAACACCTCAGTGGAACATTTTGACACCATGGTCCTGGGGGAATTCCTCATAGATTCTTTTGCCCCTCCACCTTTATGTTCCTCTACCCACCCTCTTCTCCTCTATCATCCTCTCAGGCCATAAACACAGGCACAGAAACCGGGGAGGAGCTGGGATCTGAAAAGTTGCTGAGGATGCCCGATCCTGTGGTATCCACTGAGTGGGAGCTGGTATCTCATGGCCACATTGTGGATCACCTCCCACTCCATGGGTGGCACCTGAGGAGAAGGTTTTCTGGTCCCTCTCCAGGGGTAAGCAGGTGGCATGTACCTCAGAAAGACCAGAGTGCGGTTAATCTTCAGAGCATCGGCCAGTGCCTTGGCCCCTTGAGGTCCAACGGTGTTACTGCGGAGGCTGAAGAAGAAAGAGAAAGAACTGTTCTCTTTCATCTAGTTCCCAGGGAGGAAAGGAGGAATGGAAGTTACACAGACCTTTAAATCTATGCTTCTCAAATAGAATATATCAAGGTTTAGGATGTCATGTTTGGTGGAAGTGGGACAGAGATTTTTATGTAGGCAAACAAGGAAGGAGTTTCTGAAGCTGATCCCATGTGGTGGGGAGAAGAAAATAGGATCTGATGGACCAGTGGGCTTAGGCAAAGGATGGAGAGGAGAATGATAACACCAGGTTCAGGGCTGAAATTCTGGTGCTTCCTGGGTGAGTCTGAATTGCTGAGCAGGAACCATAGCTTTGTTTGCTCAGCTATGAGCAACCCACCCAAGGAACTTTACAAGATGTCTCACAAGTACTCTCTGTCCAAGTGGTGAAATATTGGCCGTTGGTGTTGTACTTACTCTAGAGTAGTCAGACTTCTGTTGACAAGAAGGGATCTGGCTAGAGCTTTGGCCCCTTTGTTACTGATCTGGTTCTCAGCCAAGCTGCCCAAGGGGAGGAAAAGGAGTGGTTATTTTAAGTCTAGAAATCTCATTACCTCTTCCCCAACTCCAGGCTCATGATTCAGAGCCCTCAGCCTCACCAGAATCATCAGGGCCTGGACACAGGTCGAGATCAGGTGAACCCTGGAATAGAATGCCAAGCCCAGAAAAGCCTCTGAGCCAGGCAAGATAGGACCAGAGTGGGCAGAAAGACCTGCATACTGGCTAAGGGTTCCAGGGAAGGTTGGCCAGAATCCAGCACAACTGCTACACAACACAGGAAAGAGGGCAGACAGTTACAGAAGTCTACCAGTGGGCCCCAGCCAACTGTGTGCCAGAAAACTGTTTCTCAGGGAAAACCAAAATACAAAAGCCCTGACCTGTAGCACTGGCCAATTTTTATGGTGTAAATACTTCCACTATAGCTAGTTTCAGGCACTCACAGCTTGCAAAAATTCCTGAAATTTTAACAATCAGCTCTCAGGCCCTGGCCAGGTAGCTCATTTGGTTAGTGTCGTCCCAACATACCAAGGTTGCAGGTTTGATCTCCAGTTGGCACGTACAAGAATCAACCAATGAGTGCATAAATAAGTGCAACAACAAATTGATCTATCTCTTTCTTTCTCCCTTGCCCTTTACTTCTCTGTCTCCCTCCCTTCCCCTTCCTTTTTCTCTAAAATCAATAGATTAAATTTTCTTTTAAATCAGCTCTCATAAACTCATAGTTCCAGCACACCACAGGTGCCAGCCCTTTTTCTAATGCAAGAGTTATTACAAGACTAACTTTAAAGTTTTTTTTAAAAAAGTACATCTGTATCTGCCTTGAAAGGGCAATTTCAAGAATATGGTGGTGGATCAGTGGACCTAATGTTGTTTTATGTACCCAGTTTTAGAAATGGTAGCTCATGAAGCTTAATGTTTCTCAGACATTTAAAACTGTGGGGAAACCCCATGGAATACACTTAGATTCCCTAGTGCTTTCAAGCCATGTTTCAAAGGTCCCTGGGGTTCCCCAGGAAAGCTTCAGGAGCTGCCAGGAGTCCAAGAGGGAGCCAAGTGCCTGGGCTCTGGGCCACCATCTCCTCTTCTTTCAATCCTGGACACTTCTCCCCCTCTATTTGACTTATTGGGATTCTGCTTAATATGTCGCTTTAAAAAAAAAAAAAGGATTCTGCTGCTTTAAAAACATTTGAAGGCCATCCAGATTACCTTCTATATAAATGTCCCCAGTGTCCCCCGGGTCTAGAGAGCCTCTGTCCACCCCCCTCACCCCAAGACTTTTATAATATTTTATGAGCAATATTTCATGAGTCTTATGTGTTTTGTGAAGTACCCCTTGGGCATTTCAAACAGGGATGTGGTGCTGAGGACCAACTACAGAGAGATAAAGAAAAGTATGTGGCCATAGAGGAAATGTTAAGTTTTGTTCAGAAAAATTTCTGGGCACTATCTAGATTCCTTTAAGCCAAATACCAAAAGTTGATTATTTTACTGAAGGCTCCATGAAGGAAAAAAAACCATTAATAATGAGAAGTTGTCATTATCATGTTTCTTTCAAAGAAATTGCAATTGTATCTCTGGTTAACAAGACAAAGACAGCCCTGCTAATAACTGCTGGTCCTTATATAGTGTCTGTCCTGTTCTAAGCACTTTCCTTGATTAACTCGTTGGAGCTTCACAACAACTCTAGAAGGCAGTGTTCGGCAAAGGATTAACCTTGACCAGCCCCTCTCCTGAGAGGTGGCCCCTCTAAGCCCTTGGAATGTCCTGCCTGATAAGAATATCTCAGTTTACAGAGGCGGGGGCGGGGTGGGGGGGGGGCTTAGGTTCTGTTGAAAAGCTTATGTCACAATTTATGTTGGGGACTTTGGGCCATGCAGTGTCAGCTTGACTTCTGGAAGAGCTGGAGAATAAGGTTAGCATGTGGGAGGTCAGATATGTCTTCATGACCAACCCCCAGCAAAAACTCTGGGCACCAAGGTTTGGATGAGCTTCCCTGGTTGGAATGCTTCATATGCATTGTCACAAGTCATTGCTGCAATTCCACTGGGAGGGAACAGCTGGAAGCTCATGCTTGGTCTCTCTGGGACCCTGCCCCATTCACCATTTCCTTCACAGATTCTAGTCTGTATCCTTTCTGTGTAATGAACCGTAACCGTGGATATGACAGCTTTTTGAGTCCTCTGAGTCCTGCTAGTGAATCACTGAACCTGAGGGTGGTCGTGGGGACCCCAGAACTCACACGTGAATAACATTGTAACCCCATTCTCACCCTCCTTAGGTACAGAGGTATCTGTACAAGGTCATATGGAGCTTACCACTCTAACCACTATCCTCAATGATTGCTTTGCTCCTGATTCAGTCTACATTTTTTCTGCTCAGATAAAGATTATTTCAGAACCCAAAGCCTTGTGTGAGGATGAGAAACTACTCTCTGTGTCCTGTTCTCTAAGCTCACGTCCCTAATTCTCCGAAAGCACACCGCCCCCTCTCCCCTACCCAGGTCGTGGTATCTTTTCAACTACAAACAAGGGTGTTCCTCAAACTTGGAAATTGTTATAAGACAGATTTCATAATCTCTTCTGAAGTCAGCATATAAACTTTCATCTAATTACATTAAAGATGCAGTGTTTAAATTTTAAATTTTTTAATTAAAATTTTTTTAGACAAAATGTAAATTTTATTTAAAGGTACAATTCTGTGCCCAGAACACTATTTCAGGGCAAACTTGAAGAAAATTGGGCCTGGTACCATGTGAGCACATACAGTGTTTGGAGAAATGCTTCCATGTCCACAAAAGCCTCTGATCCTCACCACATCCTTTCTCTCTTCTTACAGATGAGTACCTGAGCCTCTGGAACTTTCTGGAATTGGTGGAAATAAGCAGCTTGCATCCTGAGACATGTTTCAAAGACACCTCTCCTTGAAGTATCACTTAGCCCGTTGAACAGAAAGGAGGCTGGGAAAAGAGCACTTGGACCTCGAGAGACAGGTGGGTGCCCTGGGAGGCGCCCCTGGGTCAGGGTTACCTGATCTTCTGAATGCGGCAGTCCTTCCCACTCAACACGCTGCCCAGCAGCTCCATCACAGGGTCCTGGAACTGATTGGTGTCCAGCCTGGTCAGGAGAAACAGCAATAGTGAGTGGTCCCCTGCCGCTGCCACAGGCAGGTTGAATGAGGTCCCCGGCTGGCATCAGGATAGCAAAAAGGGGCACAAAGATCAGATGCCCAGGCTGGGATCCTCTCCTTCTCCCTTCTCTCCACCCCAATGTAGCTCCTACCATATGACCCAGAGATCTCGAACAGCACACCCACCGTGCTCACAGAGTTTTCCTACAGAGGTCAACTAGGAGGCCCAGTGGCATAAGCCCTGGGGTTCCTATCCAGAGGGGTGTCTTCCCAGCAGCCCCACACACTGTGTGCATCTGTGGGACACTTGCCACTAGTTCTTTTACTTCAGAGGACATGGAAGCTGCTCTCAGGTCCTGAATGGCCCTGGCCCTGGCCCTGGTGCCTTCTCCCCACCCCACACTAAGATCAGAGCAGTGGACAGAGGACAGGTAAAGGGTGAGTGGGTTTGGCTTCTGTCAGCACTGGGATGGTTCACACGGTATTATGGATTGAATTGTGTCCCCAAAAAGATATATTGGTGTTCTAACCTCCCAGTGACTCCAGAGTATGGCCTGATTTGGAAATGGGATGGTTGCAGATGTAATTAGGTAAGATGAGGTCATACTGGAGTGAGGGAGGCCTGTCGTCCCATATGACTGGTGTCCTTACAAGCGAGGAAAGCTCTGTGTGAAGACAGAGACATGGAGAAGGTGGCCATGTGACCATGAAGGCAGAGACTGAAGTGATGCAATTATAAGCTAAGGACTGCCAGCGAACACCACAGAGAGGCAGGAAGGATGCTCCCCTACAGATGTCAGAGGGAGCGCAGCTCTGCCAACACCTTGATTTTGGACTTGCCTCCAGAATTGTGAGAAGATGCATTTCTATTGTTTTAAGCCTCCCAGTTTGCAGTCCTTGGTTACACAGCCCCTGGACACTGATATAGAGGGTCATGGTGGAGAGAAAGCACTTCCCACATCCTCTACTCTCTCCGCCGCCAACACACTCTGCACACCCCATCCTAGCACCCACCTCAGGCTCTGGCAGTAGAGCAGCTGGGGCAACAGGCTCTGGAAGACGCCCTGGCTGAGGCACAGAGACAGGTTGGCCTCCTGGGCACAGGCATCTGACACCTGCAGAAGGTAGGCCAGGGCGGCTCGGTGTTGGGGGCCAGTCAGCCTGGCCAGGTCCCCGCTCTCCATGGCCTCCTCCACACTGCGGGCCAGCTCTGTGTGCTGCAGCTCATGCAGGCAGTGCAGGATATTGACTGCCCGGGCACAGACTACCGTTTTGGGGTACAGGCAGCTCTGCAGGAGCTGGGCCACCTGCACCCGGGAGCCCTGGTGCTCTCCCGGGGCCAGCAGGGAGCCAGCCAACAGGGCATTGACCCTTGGAGACAAGAGGCCGGAGAGGAAGCGAAGGAACACATCCAGCCGTCCATCCTCAGCCTGCATGGCCCTCTGGACCGCGCTCCTGAAATGCGTGAGGAAGCCCAGCCGAGGCCAAGACACACCACCCTCAGTGAAGAGGTCGAAGATGGCTCTCTTGGATGCACTGTAGTAGTATGTAGCTCCCACGAACTCCTGCAGGGACAAGTGGGTGAAGCAGTAGGCTGCTGAGGAGGCCAGAGTCTCCTCCCGCTGCAGAAAGCAGCTGCAGAGAGCACTTTGCAGCAGAGCAAGGTCCACACCAAATGCCTTCAGGTCTGGCTCGTAGAACACGTACTTCTTCTTGACAAGCCCATGGAAGGCCAGCCGGCCCAGTGTCCCTACCATCTTACGGCCACTATGGGCCAGCTGCTCAATGCGAGGGCTCACCTTGCCCTTCTCCTGCCCATCCCCACTGAGGGCCATCCTGAAATACCAAGAGTAGAGCTCGCACAGGGTCCTTGGAGGCCACAGCTCTGTATCCTGGGGCCCCTGCCTACGGCGGCACAAGTGGCCCAGTGCCAACCCTGCAAGTCGGCAGAAGGCTGGGATGGTGCACATGAGGTACAGGGCTCTGTTGGCCCACACCTGGCTCAGGACCCAGTCCAAGAGGACCTGGTCCTCGGGGAACATCTGCTCCAAACACACTTTGATCTCCTCTTTGTTAAAGCCCCGGATCTCCGTCATCCGGTCCATCAGGCCTCCTGGGATCTGGCCAGCCGCGCTGGGACGGGAGGTGACCCAGACAGAAACTTCTGGGAACAGGTTGCCCCGGATGATGTTGGTGATCAGGTGGTCTACCTGTATGTCCTTCTTGGGGTCAGTGCAGGCCACAGTGTTGGAGAAGTCCAGAGGAGTCTTACACTCATCGAGGCCATCCAGGATAAGGAGGACTTTGGCCAGGGCTGCCACTTCCAGGCCCGACTCCCCGACATGTGGAAAGAAGGAGCGGATGAGTCTGTCTGCAGACAGCTTTTCATGGGTGTTGAGATCCCGGAATGTCAGAGGCAGCACTAGTGAGAAGTCCTTGCCAACCTGTCCCCGGGCCCAGAGGTAAACAAAGTTCCTCACCAGGGTGGTCTTGCCCACACCAGCCACCCCAATGGTGATGGAGATGCGGGGCGGGATGGACACCCGCGACAGAGGCAGGAAGAGCTCGTTCAGGGTGATGGTCCTGGCGGAGCGCCAGCCCCCACGTGTGGCCTCCACCTGGGTGAAGTCGTGTTCCCTCAGCTGCAAGTCCATCAGGCCTTCCACCAGCAGGAGTTTGGCCAGCCTGGGTGCGGGGCCACCCAGCTCCAGGCTGCCTCCTGCCCTGCTCAGAAGGACCTCTCGGTGTCTCTGTATCCTTGAGTCTGTGGAATGGAGGCCAGAGGGGAGGGCTGGATAGGGTGGGAGAAAGGAGGGGGCGGGGGGAGGACTGGGAGGGCGAGTGAAAGGAAGGGGAAAGAGGTAGAATTGGGAGGAGGCGAAGGTGGGGAGAGGGCCTGGGGATACCCCTCCAGCTGCCTACCATTGCCTTGAGGCCCCTGCAGGGAGTCAGCTGTCCTCTCAGGGGTCTGTGGGGCCTGGGAGCTCTGACAGCCCTTCCCAGCCAGCAGGTCCACAAGGGCTTTCACCTGCTCAGCCGGGGAGCCAGCACCGAGGCCCTGGCCAGCTTCCCCACCCATCTGCACCTCCTGCTTCCTCATGGAGTCCAGGGTTGCTGCCAGGAGCTGTGAAGAGAGGGCCTGAACCTGCTGCCTGCTGCCTCCCTGCCCAGTGGCCTGGGACAAGTAAGGAGCCTCCAGGGATGTGTGGGGCCTCACCCTTTGGGGACCCACCCTTTCTCCTCCCCCAGCTAGTGGCCCACTGTCTGGCCTCCAGGAAGGGGCTGGAAGGGCTGTTGGTCCGTGGATGCTGGGAATAGTCCCTCATGCCAGGAGCATTGCTCAGATGCAGGGGGCCAAACTGATAAGAACCCAGGCTCAAGCTGGAACCTGAGCTCTGCCACTTACTGGTTGTGTGACACTGGGCAGGCCACCTACGCTCTCTGTGCCGTTGTGTCCTCATTTGTAACCTGGGAATAGCAATGCAGTTATGAGCAGGTCCACTCACAAGAAGGGAAGAATAAAAGAAGCCAATCTGGAAAGTCTACATACTGTACAATTTCAACTCCATGTCATTCTGGAAAGGCAAGAGCTGTGGAGACAGTAAAAAGATTAGTGGCGGCCAGGGGTAGGGGTGAGAAGGGAGGGATGAATTGGTAGAGCACATTCGATTTTTAGGGCAGTGAAACTACTCTATGTGATATACTACAGTGGTGGATTCATGTCATTATACATTTGTCCAAGCACATAGAATGTACAACACCAAGAGTGAACCCTAATACATACTATGGACTCAGGACGATAATGATTTATCAATATAGGTTCATCAGTTGTAACAAATGTGCCACTCTGATGGGGATATCCATCGTGAGGGAGGGTATATGAAGGGAGCAGGGGGTATATAGAAATCTCTGTACTCAATTTTTCTTATTTTTCTCTCAATTTTTCAGTAAATGTAAAATGGTAATAATTAAAGTCTAGTAATTTAAAAAAAAAAAAAAAAAAAAAAAAGAATGGCCTTGGCCCAGTAACTTAGTTGGTTAGAGCATTGTCCCAATATACCAAGGTCATGGGTTTGAACCCCAGTCAGGACACATGCAATAATCAACCAATGAATATATAAATAAGTGGAATAACAAATTGATGTCTCTCTCTCTCTCTCTCTCTCTCTCTCTCTCTCTCTCAAAAGAAGAAGAAGGAGAAAAAGAAGAAAAGGAAGAAGAAGGAGAAGGAGAAGAAGGGGGAGGAGGAGGAGGAGAAGGAAGGAGAAGAGGAAGAGGAAGAAGAAGGAAGAGGAGGAAGAAGAAGAAGGGGGAGGGGAGGAGGAAGTGGAGGGGAAGGGAAGGGGAGGGGAGGGGGGAAATAAGAATCAATAAATAGAAACAAAGAAAGAAAGAATGGAAAATTCGAGAGAGAGGGGAAAGTTGGTTCTCAAAGTAGTTGCATAGCTACTTTCCTTACTCTGTTTTCCTGGGGTCTCCTGGCAGAGCAGGGGCTCCTGACTTACAGGCAGCACTATTTTCTGCAGGGGACAGTGGTGCAGAGGTGCTAAGAAGCAAAGCCACATCTGAGTCCCACCTGCTCACGTTACTTTTTCTCCCTGAGGATATGAGTGGATCCCATTGCCAAGGCCAGCCACCCCCCTGTGTATTCCTCCCTCAGCTAAGATACACACTTGATGTCTCGGACCCTGCCCCCAATTCACCCCCTTTCTCACCTGCAACGGGCAGGAATTCTGGCCCAAGGTCCACCCACTGCAGCTCCTCCAGCAAGGCCTTAGAAACTCAGGGGTTTGGGGTTGGCCATCCCTCCTCCAGGGGTCTAGAAGAGAAAACTGGACTTAGTGAAAACTGGGCAGAAGTCACATCTACTGCTTCGGGTGCAGCTGCTCGTTGAACTAGGTCCAGCCATAACTTCCAGCTCTGTGTCCTCTGGGTCTCAGTGTTATTCACTTAAAAGGGGGGAAACTGGTTACAGCCCCAAGGATTCAACACACCCCCAACCTTGGATTCGCATTGGAGTTCCCAGGCATTTTAACTCAGGATGAACCTTTTTACCTGGGAAATAGAAAAAAGGCTCAGTAACAAGTAAAATAGCATTTCCCAGCCATTTAGCTCATAGTGGTGTTGGTATGTTGAGTGCAACAAATTTGAAGTAGATGAACTAATCTGGGAGCATTAGAAATAGGCCAGGCAAGGCCACTCATACTTCTTCAGAATCCTTCTGGCTGTTCTCACTCTTTTATTCTAAATGTCAAAACTAAGGGTGAAAAAAGACAGGTGGGATTTTGACAGAAGTCACATTACTGTGGGTATTATTGAGGTCTTTCTGTAGATTCTTTTGTCAAACTATATTTTTTTTAATCTAAACCTTGTCAATTTTTTATTTGTGTCTAAGTATTTTTAAATAGTTTGTGTTATTTTTCTGATTTTTTGGCATCAAAAAAGGCAGTTTTGTATATTTTATCGTATATCCCATTAACATGTTAACTATTTGTGTTAGTTATCATTTTTCAGTTAATTCTCTTCAGCCTTTTGCATTCTGCACTGCAAATAATTGAATCCCTTTTAAAAAATTATAACTTATTTTGAACAACTTTTCTACATTGGCCAGACCCACTGCCTCCCCCCAAGTGCTGCTGAATGACAGCAGTTGCAGCAGGCATCCTTGTCTTATTTCTGACTCTACCGGGAGTGGCTCCAGCCCAAATGATCGGGTCTGACGTTTGTGACAGATTTCTAATTAGTTCTCTTCTCTTCTTGGAAAGGGTCCCTTAAATCCCTCATTTATTATTACCATTCAAATAACATTATATAATACTATTCAAGGCTTACTGTGTTCTAGGCATTCTTTTAAGCACTGTATTTACATCATTTCATTTACTTCTTCTAACAACTATTACCATTCTTTCTCCCATTTTTGCAGACGGAGACCCTAGACTCAGAGAGGTTGAGTAACTTGCCTAAGGATCCACCACTGGGAAGCAGTGAGTTGAGACGGAAAAACTTCACTGGCACCAACATGTTTGCTGTATAACCTACTGCCTCTCATAATATGTTTACACATTTTTTTAAAAATCCAGACAGGCCTGTTAAATTAGCAAATGACTTTTTACTATCTCATGACTTTAAAATATTACACGATTTATTTCCATTCATTCATCCAACTGGCAGATACATATTGAGGGCCTATTTTGTGTTGCAGCCCCTGGGAATGTGAAGATGAACAAGTCAGACAAAGTCCTTACCCTGTAACTATGGTGGGAGTGGGGGAAATGACACTAAGAGGGAAACAAGTGAATAAGCGGGGCAATTCTGCTGGTGATTAGTGAATGAAATAAACAATGTGAGTGATGAGGGAGGGATGGGGACATTGGGGGAAGGGCACGCTTTAGTCACAGTGGCCAGGGAAGGCCTTTGTGAGAAAACCACATGTAAGTGGAGATCTGAAGGGTGAGAAAGAGTTAATCATGCAAAGAGTTAGGGGAACAGCAAGGGCAAATGCCCTGTGTGCTAGAGAAACAAAACATGGCCTGAGTCGTGGGTACAGTGAATAAGCAAGCAGGCTCGCAAAAGGGGTTATGAGACAAGGGCAGAGTGGGGTTGGGACCTGGTCACTATCATAAGGAATTTTAGATTTATTTTAAGTGTGGTGGGAAGCCACTAGAGGGAGTGACATAATTGATGTATATTAGATCTTTCCTTTAATCTGTGAGCTATACTAATAGATTTTCTAACATTGAACCAAACTTGCATTGTTGAATACAAGCTCCATTCATATTAAGCTATATAAAACAGAGTGGACTAGCACATAAGTCAATATAGCATAATATAGAGTCTAGGAACAAATATATACCTATATTATTTACATATGAAGAAGTTCAATAATGTGACAAAAACAGCATTTCCACTGATTGGAAGTTTCCAATCAGTGGAAATGCTGTTAGGGCAATTGTTTAGCTTATGAAAAATCTTTTTGGAGTTTTACTGCACATTGAACACAAAATTTAATTTCAATTTGGATTAAAGACTTTAAATTATAAATATAAAACCATAAAAGCACACTAAAAAAATAGGCGAGAATAGTTGAAAGCATTCTTTGTGTAAGAAAGAATATTTAAATCCTCACCTGCGGATATGTTCATTGATTTTAGAGAGAGGAAGCGGGGGAGCGGTAGGGAGAGAGAAACATCAATGTGAGAGAGGAACATTGATCAGTTGCTTCCTATACACACCGCGACTGGGAATCAAACCTGCAAACTTTTGGTGTACAGGACAATGCTTTAACCAACTGGGGCACCTGGCCAGAGCAGGAAGACTTTTTTAAGCAAGATATAAAATCCAGAAGTCATAAAGGGAAGCCTAAAAAATTAGCCTTATTTTAATATTTCTAAATAATAATAACTACCCCAAATAAAACTGACAAAAACATCAAGCCAGGAGTCAACATTAGCAACATACATAAAGGAACATGAAGCCCTGGTTAGTGTGGCTCAGTAGTTTGGGTACCAGCCTGTGAACCAAAGGGTTGCCAGTTCGATTCCCAGTCAGAGCACATGCCTGGGTTACAGGCCAGGTCCCCAGTGGGAGGCACATGAGAGGCAACCACACATTGATGTTTCTCTCCCTCTCTTTCTCCCTCCCTTCCTCTCTCTCTAAAAGTAAACAGAAAATTTTTTTAAAAATTTAAAAAGAACATTAATATCCTTAACATATAGGGAGATTTTATAAATCAGTAAGAATGAAGTGAGTACAGATAGAATTAGAGACACAGACAATTACAGAAACAGTAGAAATAGAAAAAAAGGACATATAATTCAAAGAAGCATAAATGATCAAGATACTGAAAGCGTACTCAATCTCACTAAAGATAAAAAAACAACGAGCTATCATTTTTCATTTGTCTAATTGGCAAAGATTATAATGACATAACAGGTTGCATTCACAAGAATGTGGGAATAGTAGGAATCTTAATATATAGTAGGTGGGAAGTTAAATTAGTACACTTCTGGATCATACTTTGTCATTATCTATTGCCACCAAATATCCTTTGATCCAGAAGTTCCACTTCTGGGAATTATCCTGAAGAAATAATTGGAGCCCTGTTTGAGTAGCTCA